CCTGCTCATCCGCGACAAGCAGCAGCTGCGCAGGGCCTTCAGCGAGCAGTGGCAGCAGCTCAGCCAGGACTACAGCCGGGTACGTTGGAGCCAGCAGGGGAACAGGGGAATGTGCTGGACCCGCTCCCTGACCGTGTCCCTCTCCAGACGACGCAGCAGGAGATGGAGAAGCTGAAGGCACAGTACCGCAGCCTAGCCCGTGACAGCGCCCAGGCCAAGCGCAAGTACCAGGAGGCCAGCAAAGGTGCCAACCTGGCCCCTGTCCCCTGTGTGACCTCCCAGCTTCCCTTATGGGTCAGGGATGGCTGGAGCACCCTGCACTCCGTGAAAACTACAGCCCAGCCTGGAGCGGGTGGGGGCTCTGGGGTTGGGCAGCATAGAGGAGAGCCCAGCCTGGCCCCCAGGAAGCCAGGCAGAAGCCTGGGGGCCTTAAGACACCACACTGTGGGAGAGGGGCATCTCTGTGTCACACTGTGACCACCCCAGGCTCGGTCCCTCTGCCTGCCCTGGGACCCTCTCCCAGCCCTCACCCTGTGACCCCTGCTCCGGCGTCGGGGCAGGTGGTGTGCTGGTGGTTGGGGTTTTCCACAGCCTCTCTCCACAGACAAGGAGCGCGACAAGGCGAAGGAGAAGTATGTGCGCAGCCTCTGGAAGCTCCATGCCCTCCACAATCAGTATGTGCTGGCTGTGCAGGCGGCCGCATTGCACCACCAGCACCACTACCAGCGGGTGCTGCCCAGCCTGCATCAATCCCTCTACGGTCTGCAGCAGGAGATGGTCCTCGTCCTGTAAGAGCCCTGCCTGCCCCGCTGCCCATCCCGTACCCCACTGCCCATCCTGTGCCCTGCTGCCACCCTGCACCCCACTCCCGCCCCCTGGGCATGCCCCACGGCCCCCCAGAACCAGCAGTTCTCCCACAGAAAGGAGATCCTCAGCGAGTACTGCAGCATCAGCAGCCTGGTACAGGAGGATCTTTTGGCCATTCACCAGGAGATTGCCAGTGCCATCCAGGCCATCGACCCTGCCACTGAGTACAGCAGCTTCATCCAGAGCCACCAGTATGGCTCCACGCAGCCGCAGCCTCTCTGCTGGGTACGGCCCTGCTGCCTCTGGCTGGCAGCGGCCAGCAGGGGCAAGTGGAGGCACAGTTGTCCTGGTGCCCACAGGTACGAATCTGAGATGCCACCAGCTGTGTCCTTTGATGAGAGCCTGCTGGAGGACACAGAAAACCTGGTGCC